ACCACTTTTATAAGTATTTTTTCATGTAATCTTCACCAGAACGCTGGAGAACATGTTCTGTTATTATCACCATTGTGCCAATGAGGAGAACGGAGCACAGTGAGTGACGCAGCTCACACAGCTGCGAGGGGCTCTTAAGAGCTGGGTTTCACTGATGCTTCAACAACCACAGGGTAGTTGTGAGTCCTGGGATTCCAGCTAGTGCTGGTACATCATGAGGAGCACTGGCTTGGCCTGTGCGCCTGCACATAACCAGACAGGTGAACACAGGGTGGGCAGAGTTACCATAGCCAGAGCACGGTGATTGCAGGTGCCACAGAAAGGGTCAGGTCTGGGAACAGAGGACAGAGTTGGCGGTGTACAGCTATGCACAGTCCAAGTCAGTGAAAGCGTTAAGTGACGGGGGATTTGAACCAAGGTAGGGCAATAAGATGGATGGTCCATGGTGGTGATCGGAAGGGGAGGGACAGTAGCAGAAAGTTCAGGAAAGGAGGTGTGCCTCAGAGATGCCCAGTGGTGACCATGTTGGAGTCTGGAAGGAGGGGATTCAGTCGATGGGAGAGGCATTGACAGATCTGGGGAAGGCCACAGCTCCGGGATTATATTGGGTAATAGGGCTCAGCAACAAGGACAGGTCCAGTCAGCAACCGTGGGCCATTGTGTCCCGGTGAAATGAACAGAAAGGGTAGCTTAACACCACGGAAGGGTGCTAAAGAGCCTTGGGTATCACCTAAGGAGGTTGGACTTCGTCCCATACACACCTGTGATCTCTCACCTGGAAAGCTGCTGTAAACACACATGGCACCACAAGCTCTGTGACATCATGTCTTCTTTCAGTTAATCTCTCAAAACCCATAGTGTGTAAATGATCTTTTAGACCTAAAAGTGAGTGGATTCAAGGTTAACCTGAACAGAATGTCACTTTCACATTCTGACTTGCTTTCTTGAACAGGAGAGTAAGAGATACAGATGCCACTGGCATGTTTGCCTAACCCTGGGGAAGCTGTGTGAATGTGCCGTGCGTGCTGATATCAGTTCATATATCACAATAAGGAAAAGGTAGAAAATTGCCCCCAGAGGCCACGGGGAGTTGGTGTGGGGAAGCAGGGCAGAGAGTGGGGCAGAGAATAACAGTGTTTTACTTGTAAGCCCTTCTATAACGTTTCAGATTTATTATTTTGTTGTGTATGTGTGTATGTCTGTGTATTATAAACTTGAAAAGATGCATTAAGTTTGACTATCAGGTAATCAGCCCCATACTAAACGAAAAAGTGGGAGGGAGCACAGAGACAATCTGCTAACTTATTGTTGCCGGCAAGAAATCAAGGCAATCTAACTGGCAGATATGAGAATTTTTAAAAGAGAAAGAATAGTAGCCAGGGGCTATTTAATGTGAGCATAAAGAGGTTCATACAGCACTTGGAAATCGTTATAATACCACAAGTGTTAGACTTTATCGGGCCAGTGGCGACACTGAGACTTCCAGTCAAGATCAGAGTATCCCCGTCACTCTCTGTTTAAGGAGGCAGGGAGCCAGGGAATATAATTTAGCAAGATTTTTATCGAAAGGAGCTAAAATCACAAGAGAAAGAAGGCATTGTTCTTATGTGCCTTTCCTTCATAGCACGTAAATGATAGTAAATTTTTTAGATTTTTCTAATTCGACCTGCCAAAATGCATGCTCTGTGAGGGCGGGAACCACGTCTGTTTTGCTCACCCAGCTGCCCCAGGATGGAAATAACTTACATGGACTTTCTCTTTCCTCCAGCCACTTGAGACACTTCGTCTGCTCGAGGCCAAGAAGGGCTCCGGGCCTGGTCCCAAGAGCAGACCCTGACCTTCCATGAGATGGGAGGAGGGAGGAGGCGTTCTTGCTCCCAGTAGAACAGCATTTCTTAGGCCTCTGAGATGCTCTTCACTGAGTCCCACATAAAAATGAAGAACTTAATCCGCGGCCATGATTCCTCAGCTCCATCTGGCTGCTGGAATAATTGAAACTAGAAATGTCTGCTTTGATGGCTGCTGGAAAGGAAAGCTTAAATTTTCGTGGAGAACCTCAGTACTGCCTCAAACCTTAAACGCTGGGTTTCTTGGGAAATTCGATTTCTGTTATCTCCAGTTTTCTAGACAGGGAACCTGAAAAAAGCTCTAAACAGATGCGGCAGTGGGAACTTCAGGACCTTCTCAGCCTACACAGGTGCCAGGGAGCCCTCTGGGGGGGGGGAAGTGGGGGGCAGGGAGAAGGAGGGTCTGGGCTTACCCAGAAATAGGGGGTCCTAGGCCCCCAGCATCAGCCACAAAGCTCAGACCGGGCAGAGCCTTGAACGTGGCCCAGCCTCAGGAGAGAGGGGGCCAGGGTGTCTCCACGCTCGTGCCTCACCGTCCACAGAGGTTGGACTCGGGCCATCTGCGCCGCAGTGCCACTGCCTGGACCACCCTCAGGAGGCTGGGCCTTAACTCCCCTCCGCTCTTTCTCCCCTAGCCCTTCCTCATCTCCTCCCTCCCTCCCTCTCTCTCCTCCTCTAGCCTTCCACTCTTAGTGACCCTTCTCTTGCTCCCCTCCTCCTGGGCTTCTCTGTCTCCTCTCCTCTCCCCCTCCCCCTGCACTGCCTCCTTCCTCCCTTCTGGCTTTGGGAGACCGTGCCTTATCCATTAGGCCACAGGGTGACTCTCCCGTCTCTCTGTGTCTCTTTCCTCACCCTCCTTCTCTCTCCTCTCTGACCCCTCTCCCCCCCTCCTTCCTTTCCCCTTCCTTCTCTCCCTCTGACTTCAAATAGATCAAATAGCTTTTTCTACTCTAAGAAAATCAAAGGCTGGTTCCCACCAGAGGCTCTTCTCAGTTCCACACACAATAAATAGCTACCCATTTCGCCCCCTGGGTTGGAAAGAAGAGGCTATTCATGCCCAGAAGACACTGATTTTTGAAGTATCAGAGGTATTTTAAACAAGCTGTCTCCGCACTGCTTTCCTTTCACATGCTAACGCATCTGCCCACTGGTGGCTTCTGACCCTGCCTTCCCCTCCTCCACCTGGAGAACAGAACTGCGAGCCAGCGAGCAAGCAGATTAAAGACGTGTTTACCGGGGGAGCTGAAGGGAAGACCCGAAAGCTCTAGGAATTGTGGCGTTCACAGGAAAGGCTCTGGGGGAGCGTGAGCCAGGTATGGGAGGCCCTGAGCTGCTCCGCCCAGTCCTCCCAGCCTGCCCCCACAACAGGCAGAGAGGCCCACTCTCTGGAGCAGAGGAAATTCAAGCTCCAAGCCCCTCAGTTGCTCTAGCCCTTTTGAGGCCGTGGGAAGAGACCCAGCATTGTGATCCCATGGTCCTGTGTTTTTGCAAGATTTGCAAGAGGAATATATTTTAACCACAGTTGGGTTTGATGACTGTTTCTTTCCACTACTGTTTCCCCTCAGTCGTACCTCTCCTCTGGTCAGTTGGCCCTGGAGTGGGCATGTGGGGGACCCAACTAAGGGGAAGCTGAAGTGGGAACGCACTCAGTTTATATTTAGTAGTAGATTTAGTTTATACATGTGTGTGGTCCCCTGTCACGTCTGTGCGTGGGCAGGTCCCGGCTGACCATCCCAGGGCAGGAATGGTGTCCAAGAATAGTGCCACAAGGCTGAATCAAAGATGAATACGACCTACAGCACTAGGCTTCAGAAGTCTGTGGGTAGTGGTAGAAAAACAAGGCTTGAAATGTACTGAGCCTAAAGCTAGTCTGTGGAAAATTCTTCCAGTCATGAGAGGTGTAAAATTCCAGGTGGAGGATTCTATTCTCGTGGGTGCCCCACCAAAACATTAATCAGGAATATATTCAGTGATGCACTATATACACGGATAAGCACACTGTGTCACTGCATGACATGAAGTTGATCAGAAACCTTGTGTCTGCAGGGCATGGCGTCTGTAGCAGCACGGCACCCAGCAAGCTCGTCTTAGGAAGTGCGCTTTAGCGCTTCCCAATTATCAATAACTTTGATCAATCTTGCTGGAGAAAAGATTACCTCATCTTCCTATTCTCTCTTGTACAAAATCATTGCCGTAGAAAGCAAGTATTGAAGTACACAGGCAAAACTTACAGAGAAAGTTATTTTAGAAGTGTGTCAGGCAGTTAATTAATTTGAATATTATTTATTTTGTGGCTTTTGAGATGTCTGTTGCATTTGCCAGATTTTTAAATTATGAAATGTTTCGTAATTTATTTTTTCTTTCTCAAGAGCCTCTTCCAAACCTAATTTTGTAATTGTATTTTTGTATTAACTTTCTTAAAGAGAGCCCCCCAAATTGTTTAAGCCTTAGGCCCCACAAACCTGGATCGTCTTTACTGGCCGCCTTGGTGAGCATCTGGACAAAGGATTGTTTTTTTCCTGTCTCCAGGAGACTGCTCCAGGCCAGGCCCCCACATTCCCAGGGCAGTTTGGCCAGTGAGTCCTGCAAGGGTAGCAGGTGGCCGTTCCTCCAGGATCTCTATTTTCAGGACTGTGGGGTCTTCTTTTTGAGGACTCCTATCCCAGGTTCTCAGGCTCCTACTCTTATCAGGAAACAGCAGTGAGGGGGGCGCCTGGGTGGCTCAGTCGTTAAGCGTCTGCCTTCGGCTCAGGTCATGATCCCAGGGTCCTGGGATCGAGCCACGCGTCGGGCTCCCTGCTCAGCGGGAAGCCTGCTTCTCCCTCTCCCACTCCCCCTGCTTGTGTTCCCTCTCTCGCTGTGTCTCTCTCTGTCAAATAAATAAATAAAATCTTAAAAAAAAAAAAAGGAAACAGCAGTGAGGAACAGCTGTTGGTGCTCAATCTCACTAGCTGTGCTGAGGCCCAGCTGCACAAATTCTTATTCTGACATAAATCCATTTGAGGTTCTTTTGATTCAGGGAGAGGTACGGTGGTTTTCTGCCAAACCTTTCCTCTGATGTGTATCATATTTGGTTCAGGGGTTCGGTCACACAAAACTGTCTCACCTCATCTGCAGCAAGGCCCTTAACCAGTTTTCTGATTTCCTTAACAGAGTTGGTGTGGACCTGGATGAAGATCTGAAGGAGGAGCCCACCTCACACCAGGCAAGTCAAAGAGGCCAATTCATAGAGTGCAGAGATACGAAATGTTCTGTTCCAAGGAATATTCCATGCTTGTCCAGCACGTGGCCAAGGGGCTCAACCTGAAGGGGGCTGCCTCCACTGATAAAAACACATCCGATGACTAAAAATACCTGGGAACTCAGGGTATCAGTAACCTTTGCATCACCTTTAGAATGCTTAGAACTAGCACGCCCTTGCACCCTCTCTGTGGCAACAGGAAGCTGGAAACTCTCCAGTGTAAGAGCAAGAGCATGGCTCTTGGAATGAGATAGCCTGGAGTTCAAATCCCTGCCCCAGGACTTGCTAGTTTAGATAATCTCAGTGAAATTTATTCAGTGCATGTCCAAAGCATGTTGGGCACACAACAAATGGACCTGTTTCTCCCACATGGCTTCTCATTAATCAGGTCTAGGTGTATAGAAATATTGAAATATCGAAAATTTGCAAAAGCACAGCAAAACTGTCTAGGTGATCCATTCCTAACTGAGCTGTGGAACCGTTATCTGCAGAGACCTGAAAATCCTCGGGGAAATTTGTTCAGAACAATGTGCTGTTCCCTCGAGTAGGGCAAGTGTATGCTCCAAACTCTGCACTTGAACCTGACATTCCAGTAGAATCTGCCATTGGCAATTTTGCATCAGCCATTTTTAACTCAGTACTTAAAACAAACAATTGTGTGGAAGTGTTGCCTCTTTTGTTGAAATGGTAAGCGGATAGACACGACAGAAAAATATCACAAATAAGTGATGTTGCTTAATGACTCGTGTTATGATAATACCTGGATCTGAAGAGGATCCAACTCTCTTTTATTCTGTGATTTTTTTCCCTATAATGCCATCAGTTGAGGCACAACTGGTTAGTGCTGCTGGGCAAAATGAGGCTACTTTCCCGGTTTACATAGACATAAAGAAGAATCCTGTGCTCTATAAACAGGGCTGGAAAATTAAGTTGGTGATGATCCTGGCTTGTTGTACGTTCATTTTTTTTTTTTTTTTTTTTTTTTTGTAACATGTGTTTCAAGGCTGGTGCTGTTTTCACAGACTCGTAGCCCAGGAAATACACCTAACTGCAGGAGTGAGCTCAGCAGGGGTGCCGGCACTCGGGATTGGGGCCAGCTCCGTGACCTTAGAAAGGAGATCAAAGCCCATCTCCTTATCCTAGTGGGCTGTAATGAGTAGTTAGTAAGGTCTGGTGGTGGCTGATTTTTGAAAAACATTTTCATCTCATATAGGTCAACTAATCCATTCTCCTAACTTCAAGCAAAACTTTTATCTAAATTCTATCTTTCTCTTCTATCTTTTTCTTTAAAGGAAAGGAGATAGAATAAGAAAATTCATCAAAGAAAATTCTTCATCTTTCTCTAGCTGCCCCATATTTTGAAATCACATATAATTATTGGGAAGATTACCTACTAGCCTAACTCTTTCCTTTTACAATTTAAACATTTCATTTCAGCTCATTCACGCCATTGTTAATTCAGTAATAACTCCTACCTGAATACTTAAACCGACAAGAAAGTATTTTTCTGTTAGAGAAATGAGATAATGCAACTAGGTACAGTGAAAACTACATTGTATTTGGATCTTGGACAGATTTTTTATGTCTTTGAGTCTCAGTTTTCCTATCTGTAAAATGTGGATGATAATAATGTCTACTTCTCCAGGTTGGTATGACAATCAAGTGAAATTATATTTATGAAAACTAGGTAACTTAATTAATTTAGTTAAACCCATCTCATCTTATGAAGGACTTGTGGCAGCTTATATGTATAATAAAATAATAGTAAAATATTTTATCAGATTTTAAAATTCAATAAATAATATTAATCAGAGCAAAAAGTCAAAACCAGAGGAGTAAAAAGATTCATGAATGAGCAGATCATAAGGTCCTATATACCTGCTTAGTCAAACCACAAGTAAGGTTTGGTAGCCAACGGGGAAAGGAAGAAAAAATAATCAACCATATACTAAAATATTATCATTAGAGGGACAAATCATACTCTCTCCTCAAGCAGTAGAAAACTTCACAGCCCACTGTTTTAAAAGAAATTTCTCCCTCGGGGCTTCCTGTACAGGACACATAAAGAGCTTATCCAAATATTAGCTAACTAGCCTTATTATAAATTACACCGTTCCTACTGAACTCTTGCTGCTTAAAAATAATTTTGTCTTTAAGCGGTGTTCTGGCAGGGTTCTTATTCACAGTAATGTTTGACTACTGAGGTAGGTAACATCTCAAGAAAGCAATTTTCTCCAAACCTTGGAATAATTCTTATCTTCAGTGTCAAGTCTAGGAAACAGTGGGATGGAGCTAGAAATAAAAGAAAACACCAGTGTCCCTGCAGCTGCCACCTGACCTGGACAGTGTTTTTGGTACTTTCCAAACCAGTGTCAAGAACCTTGTTGCCCTCACTTTGCCTGACAGCTCTTCACTTATTATCAGCATCTGTTGCTCTGTTGGACTGAAGAGCATAAACCCTAATTCTTAGGAGGATTGCATGTTTCCACTCGGTTTGCATTTATTAAGTTGGGCTTGTGTTACCAAATATAATGATTTTCACACTGGTCAAGTTCTAAAAAAAGAAGAAGAAGACTATTTTTACTAGAAGCTAAAAATTTTAGTTATGGCAATTACTGATCGTACACTCTCAAAATCAATAATAAACGGGTTATTATATTTTTTAAGGAACCTCCTCTTTGTCGGTTTGTGGAGAGTAAAACAACCTTTGGGAAATATGAATGTCTTGCTGTGATCAACTAGCAATGCCATAATTTTCCTTTTCACCTTGTAACAACTTTAGAGTGTGAGTGATATTACGCTCTTGCTTGTACCAGACCCAGAAGCTCCAGGAAGTAGGTTCCACATGCAGTTATTAAAGTCTAAATATATTCTCTATGCAAATGTGCTTCTTTGAGAAATGGGAGATAGTACAGTGGTGGATTTTATGTCTCTTAAATTTAAAACAAAAACAAACAAAGCAAAAAACCTCTGAGATCCGCCCCCCCACCGCAACCGTAGGAAGTTTTCCTTGTAATTGATTCTGTGTCCTTGAGAGCACAGCAATGCAGAGAAGTTAAGAATCACTGGAGCCCCACACTTGCCTTAATCTTTTAATAGAAATCCCTGCTGCCCAGGAAGGGCTGCCACTATTGCTTCTTTTTTTCCCCATTTGCCATTTTTCTCATGATCATCCTAATATTTGTTGAGTACAGACTATTGTTAACACTTCTAAGTACCTTATCTATTGTAACTCAATTTCCAAGATAACCCTGGGAGTCGGTTCTAATATTATCCCCATATTACATATAAGAAAACTGTATACAAATGAGTTAAATAGCTTGCCCAAGGATACATAGTGGGAAGAGGTGCAGTGTTAACCCAGACAATCTGGTTCCAGAACTTCCGCCCTTAGATGGTATGATCCATGCGTGCATTCATTCATCCATACAACCCACCATGTCTAGGTGGGGAGAAGATGCAGCCATTAGCAGTTCCATGTTTTCACCCTCACAGAGCTTTTACTCTAATGGGGGACGCTGGTAAGAAAAAGGTAAACAACTACAGGAGTTCAGGTAATGAGAGGAGTAAAGCCGGAAGGGGGTGGGGGACAATGGAGACGAGTCTAGTGCCTCATGAAGGCTGGCCTTTCTGAGGAAGTGGCGTTTGAGATTAGAGGTCTGAATGGGATGTGCAGAAGTGAGCCATGTGAGATCTGGAGAAAGAAACAGTCCAGAAAGAGGCCACTGCAAGGATGAAGGCCATGGAGTCGCAGTGGGTTATGGTGTGCTCCGTGAGGAACAGGAAGGCCAGCGTGGCTGTGGCTTGGTGAGCCAGGTGGGAGCAGATGGACATGAAGTGGCAGAGACAGAGAGCGGCCAGACCATTGGCCACGGTGATGAGTTTGATTTGATTCTGCAGGCAATGGAGGTATAAAAATTCTTCAAGGTTTGGAGCTTGGAAGTAATGGAATTAACCCTTTTTAAGAACCCATCTTTCTCTCATCTCTACTCTGCCCACTGTTACAAGGAGGTTAACTTCCATCTTTTCTAACATAATTTTTATCTTTTTAATACTGTGCATGCTTCTCTCTGTGCTCTCTGAATGCTAACTTCCTTTTTTTGTTTTTTGTTTTTCTTTGCTTCCCATAGTCTCTTCATTGAAATTCTGTCTTTGGTTGTCACTTGTGCTTGTGTGTAACCTGTGTGGATCAGTTCTGGTCGCTGCAGCTCAAGAAAGTCAGAGCAGAGCTGAGAAAGGTCCAGAGAAGGGCAACTTCAATAACTTAGCAGGGGGAGATTAAAAGGATTACTATTTCTCCTGCAGAAAGATTAGCACTAAGAAGGAATACAATGAAGTGTCTATAAAAATATGAAGAGTGTGAGTAAGGTGAACAAAGACTTGTTGGCCAATTCCCAGAAAACCATAACCTGGAATACCCCTGAAGCCTGAAAGAGCTTGTTTGGGGAAGAATAAAAGGATTTGTTCTTCTGCACAATTGATACTTATTACTCATGGTCATCTAGAGTTGCAAGGGCTGGAAATATAAGGAGATTCAGGAGGAAAAGAGATTAATTAGCAGATGGTGGGGTCCTCTCATCATTAAACAAGAATTAATTTTTCCCTGTGAATATTTTCAAATATCCTAATAAACTTATAGAAAATAGAATATTCATATCTATACATATGTGTGTGTGTGTGTGTATATATATATATATATATATATATCCCAAGATTTAACGATTATCAACATTTTTCCAAACTGGCCCCTTGCTGTTAGAGTTGAACTCATAGAATATAAATTCCATACTACACCTCCACAGATATTTCAGAAATAGAATACTAAGCTCTATAAAATTGACCTGACCCAGATGAGGGGTTTTTATGTTGCATTATAACTAGTAGTATTTTGAGGAAGAAAAAAAAGGCAATTTTCAGAGCAAATATCTTGGGTTTTCCCTTGGTAATATTAGCTTTATTTTGGT